GCTATACAAATAAAATTGAAAAAAGTTAATTGAATTGAATCAGATTGACAGTCTGGCCTCACGGCAAAGGGGAGCCCAGCCAGATTCATCTGGAATCAAATACATGCTGTCTTCTGGCAAAATAAAAATGTAATTGTTCAGACTATCTCATTCATTTGCCGCTATCATGGCTTATGTTGCGCTTTATACTATAAAGGACAAAAGTCAGATTTCATTAACAGCAGACAAAAGAAGAAAAGAGTGAGAAGCAACAGACAAAGACTGTCTGTAATGTTCAATATGAGAGCTGATGAAGGTGTTGAGGTGTACAGTTTATTGTTGTTATTATATTTAAAAATTTAAGGAGAAGAAAAAGAAAAGAGTGTATGAAACAGTTTAACTCCCAGTAACAATAAGCCTCCAAAGCTTTACAAGGAAGACATAAACAGCTTATGAAACTTTCTGCTTCCTTTAATAATATCTCATAAACATATCTCATCCCTAAAGACCTTGACCAGCTTGAGTTGCTTGTTCTTGATATTCACAGTAAAAAGTATTTGAGTAAAAAGACAATATCTGGACAAGCAGAGAGAGTAAAGATCACAGTTAAACCGTTGCCCATCTGTCTCAGTTTTGCTCACATGACTTGTTAAAATAAATTTGTTTTATTGTTTTAAATAAGTTTGCTACGTTTTTTGAAACAGCTATGATGTCTTGTAAAGAACACAGTGAAGATACTGACATTGTTTTTTTGTTGTGCCTAAGAACATGGCAAAACTACTTTCTATTTAACAGCTTATATGTAACTCCTGATTATGCCAATAGATGGCAATGCAGGGTCAGACTGAGAACACACCATGCCCTGGAGGATTGTATGAAAAGAAAGAAATATGCTGAATCTCCTTTGTCAGATGCAGTAACAGTAAAATCTTGTTATTCACTCTTACTGCATACCAAAAGAGTGTAATTTAACTCCATCGTTGAGTCATAAACAAACTCCATCTGAAGTATCTGACTGGAGAAAAGTGTGTGTGCTGTCACATTGTTAAAGTGCAGAGATATGAATGTAACTCTACAGGCACAAGGACCCAGCATCCTCTGACTGGGTTGCTCAGCCTGCAGGTTGTGTACTGGGATATTTGTCCAAACAGGACTGGAGTACATTCTTGTGTGCAAGAAGTTAACATGGAGAAACACTGGTCGGCAGTGTGTGCACTAATTCTAACACTCGGTGCATTTGTGCACTTTAACATTGCTTTTGCTGCAAAGGCTGATGGGAATTTAACAGGTAGGTTTGTTTTAACTCAGATTTGTGTTTAATGTGTAATCTGCCAATTTACTTCTGAAAAAAGTGCATGTTTGTCTTTTTCATTCCACAACCAAGTTGTTTGGCAACCAGACACCTTCATTAATGTAATCCCACTTACCACAGCTGATGTCTCTCCTTTTCTGCTTCACTGCCTTTCTCTCAGTGATTCTTCCAAAACCAGGCCACTGCCCACGTCTCCTTAATGTTGTCCCATCACATAAGGGGTGTGAGTGTGATGAAGACTGTCCTGCAGACCACAAATGCTGTGTCTTTGACTGTGGAGCTGTCTGTGTCCCTCCTGCTTTCAGTACGAGCCACAATGTTTAACTTTTTCTCTATGTGGGCAGCTGTTAAATCTTTGGTTAAATCTTCTCAGTGACCTGGATGGAGAGTCCATAGGACAACAGAAAAAAGTCCCTTCCAATCAAAAGCCATGTTTTGAAATTTCAGTTTTAGCCCTCTTTATATATATTAATTTCTCTTGTCCCTTCAGCCAAGCCAGGAGTGTGTCCTCGCAGGCGCTGGGGCTTAGGGCAGTGTGCTGAATTTTGCTCTGATGACAGTGACTGCCCCAATGATGAGAAATGCTGCTACAATGGATGTGGACATGAGTGCACTGCTCCATATACAGGTTAGCCCCCCCCCAATACTCACTCCAGTAGTATGTGTGTGATGTCATTAATGTGCGTGAGTAATAACTGTTCTTGTCTTTGGTGTGTCAGTGAAGCGGGGCCGCTGTGCTCTGCCCAAGGGAACCCCTATGTGTGCCGAGTACTGCTACCATGATGGTCAGTGCCCAGGAGAGCAGAAGTGCTGCAAGACAACCTGCGGCCACGCCTGCAGCGAGCCGTGCTGATAGGACAGGCCTGCGTGTGCACAACAACACAGAAAATGTATTAAGCGATAGGAATTTTGTATCACTTTTTCTAGCTTTTCATAGTAGCACAATTTAGTGCAACGTTTGAGCATTGGTCTGCACAAGGTCTGATTGTTTGGGGGAGAAAGTAAATTGCTCCTTATATAATATAGTCAAGGAGCCTTTTTATGTGCCTGTACTTAAAGTACCAAGAAATATCTGCACATTTTCATGAATACAGTTTTGATTGAGTGTTTAGTTCTACATTATATTATCACACAGTCCGGAAGAAACTTTGTAGGATGTTATTCATAGTCTTCAAAAGACCCACAATGTAAACTTGATGAGTTTACAGCTTAAATAATCTTACTTGATGTCAATAACATGTTGGTCAAGTAACAGTATGTCTGTATGAGTAATACTGTATATTCTAGTATATACTAAATGGAAGTAAGATATGTACTGTACTTATATATGCTGCCTGTAGAGTTTCAAGGTATGAAGCAAATTGCATTTCTTTATATTACAACCAATAAACATGTTTCAAGAACCTAGAAATGCTTCACCTTGCTGGTTATAGGTTTCCAGTTTCACAAGTCTCTTTTATGGGCTTTTCAGACGGGAGCTTGGCTGAACAAACAAATGATGAAATATGCCAAGAATGGAACGTGCTTACTGGCAGAAAACAAGACTATTTAAAGAGGTGGCCAAGAACGTCTGCTGCCCTGAGATTTTAACACTGTTGCACCACAACCTCACATATCTTAAAATGCAGATCAATTTGCTTTTTATATACAGCCAAAATTAATTTCATCATTTACAAAAGCAAAAGCATACTCATCTAATCACAAACATATGTGCTAAATAAAGCGAAGGCTATGTCATTCAGAGTTGTGACAAGCCAACTGTAAGACTATTTGCTCAGAGAGTTAATGTAGTTTGCAGCTGACCAGATCTGAACATCACTTATGTGGAATGCAGCTTTTTCCTTTGTTTTTGTTCCACACGGTTGCCAAACGTGCAGGGGTGAGAATCGGTGACCGGCCAAATACAGAGACGTCTGTGTTTGTTCTCTCAGAGTCTGCCAGAAGTGGGGCCAAGTTTGTTTACACAAAAATGTGGGCACTCAGTGGGAAGTAACACAGCTCCAGCTCCGGTGCAGTTTAGAGTGATGGACCTTTTTTCACAGCTAGTAATTTGAATAAAAAGAAGAAAATATTTTTTTTTTATATCAGTTTATTGAAAAGGCAATAAAGAAAAGTTTTGCAACTCACACAAAGAGTACCGCTTCAAACATTCACATTCTGCACACAGCAAGTGAAACAGAATGGACTTCTGGGCAGATTAACATAACACAGGTTGTTAAGCTCTTGCAGGGTAGTATTTCAGGGTAGGGAAAGGTCATTTCCACAATGACAGATTTCTATTTGCTATAAGACACTGATGAGTGAAAGAGTCAACAACCCGAAAAGTTGCGCTTAACATTCAAGCATGCATCCAACAACCAATGAGTGCAAAATAAAGGTTTGGTAAGAGGGAGGTTTCTTTCATATAGAACCAGTAGTTCCAGACAAGTAATGTTATGCTTATGTCCACCCCCAAAAACAAAATGTAAAAAATTATGGTTTTGGTAGTATTTTTGTAGGCATAGGCTCTTCTCTTATATATTAAAATGACTATATAACTAACTATAAAACATGTGTTAGATAATACAAATGAATCAGGAACTGAATTTTCCATAGTTATTAGATTTGTTGTCTGTTGACACACGCTGTGTCAATTTGTAGTTGTACTCAGTATTTGATATCCTGTCATAACTGAGGTTTGAGAAAATGTAACATTCTGACTGAATAAATTGTCCTCTCTCTATCTGAGCTCTCAATAGTCTCATATTTGTGGAAACATAATTCTATCATAATTTCCTCACGTTACCAAAAAGCCTCAGACATTCTGGCTATATTATGATGTAGTGAAGTTATGGATTCAAACATTCACAAAACAAAAACAATGGAACCAGTTGCCATTGCAGCATACTGCACAGCTTTGGCTCCTTCTGCTTGTTAAATAATAACAAAGCTCTCACTTCCCATCCAAGAAGACAAATGTCAACATTTTCTTACATTGTCCTTCACCAGCAGGAAATGATCCTGAATACAAACCAAAATACAAAACCTTCAAGTTAAAAACATTCATATCAGTGCTCGACTCAGTTTATCCCTGAATATCACATGTTTACCAGTGGTTTAACCAAAAGGAAAACTTCCTTTCTAAAAGCAGAGCAAGTTGGCATGCATGCTCAGCCTCAGAGTGGCGGCACGCCCCGCATCTTGCGAATGATGTTGGCTATCCGCTTGGCCAATCCCGGGCTGGGCTCTTCTATCTGGAAACTCCGGGTCAGTAGGTTGTAGAGGGAGCCATAGCCCACGGCCACAACGGTGCAGGTCAGGCAGATGACATTATAAGGCATGCTGAAGTCCGGAGTCGGCAGGTTGACCAGCAGAGGCTCTGTGTAGACGCGCACAAAGTAGCTGGACTCCTCTTTACAGGGAAAACTGGAGGGAGATGGGAAATTTTATTTCAGTTTTCCAGACAAACGTGTTTCTCTATGGGAACTCAAACAAGACATGAACATGTAGTAAAAACAGGCATTTTCCTCAGAACAGAAACAACTCCGTACTTACAAGCTGCTAAAAAGTGGACGTTCCCGAGTGCTGTTCGTATCCATGGCGACAATGCTTGGTACAAGAGAGCTGATTACTGAAGACCTAAATGTTTAAGAAACAGACATTTGAAAGTCAAAAAGAGCAATCCGCTCTTACAGCCCTCAACATCATACAACTACTACAACTTTTAAAGCGACACAAGAAGCAACCTGTGTGCAACTTCTTTTTTCAGTTTGGAAAAATATATGCATACCCAACGTAGAAGCCGTGGTTGGGATCAGGGGTATATTCAGTCCACTTGAGGAGAGCCCTCTCAAACTGCACGGTAACCTCGGTGACAGAGTTGGGAGGAAGCTGGACCAGCATCTCCAGCAGGTGGGGCCTCACACGATCCTTAGACGGTTGGTAGTGGATGTAGCCTGTCGGAGGAAAAAAATATGAGTAACCACTGACAGACCATAGCCCCTCGTAATTTTACTCATATGATACAATATGAAAATACTGCATAAATAATACTTATTTCATATGATGTATATATAATGTCTGAGCAAATAGGCAGGGAGACCTAACTACAGCTTTCATATGACTTGTTCTCCTCCTACTGGTGAAAAGAAGCATTACATGAAACAATGATTGAACTGTAGGGAAACCAGGTAGAGTATATGTAACTCGCTAGCTAGTACAATAATTTTACTGATCGAATTTAATGCAAAAAATTCCCACAGCAGCATATTCAAGAAGTTAGTAGAAGTACAGTAGTAGTACATTATTATCATTTCCAAAAATGGCAAAAGTTATTTTCACAGGTACAAGAGCAGAACTTGGTTTGAGGGTGGGAAATTTGGAAAAGACATTTCTGCTGATTATTGTTCAACAGGATTTGGGAGGAAATTGTGAGTTATTCTGCACATAATTCTGCTGTGCATGTACAGTACAAGTAGTGTCTTAAACATAACCAAACACTGGTTTACTAAAGTAAGGTAATCAACCAACATAATTAACAAAAATATTCCCATCATTTACACAGAAATGTTACATTGTCTGAACAGCACTCTTTGTATGAGGCTGGTCTGATTTCTATAATCGTAAAATTTGTGGTTGTTCATCCTTCTTATGCTTTCTAAAGTGACTCACTGGGCTTGTTGTCCTTTCCTTTGCTGGTGACAGTGAGGGTGTGGATGTAGAGACGAAGATACCAAGGCACTGAGTCCAACAGCAGGACGGGGAAAGACCTGTAGGGATGGTTGTTGTACATCAGCGTGTGAATCTCTCCTGTCTGCAGCCCGTAACCAGCCACATAACGCTCAGCGTGGAGCAGAGGACGCAGCATGTCACCTGCAGGCCAGAGTACGAGACAATGAGGTTTAATAGTTGACCATGTGTTTAACATTGCAGCAGAGACAAGTAATGTGATAATAAAACACTGCTGATGTTTAAATTCAAAATTTAGTAGAGCTGAATATTATATCTGATGCTACTTCATTTGCAAATCAGGACTTTGGTCCGTTTCTTTTCTTGAGCGGTTACAAAAACAGGTTTCACCTTAATGTTTGAAAAATTAACAGGGGATTATGTAACAGGAACAAATAGGAACAGTGTCACTTTGATACAAAACACGAAGACAACAACACGTTTACACATGTTGCAGTCTCAAAGTGACTTCAGAGGCTGCTTGTTCAGGGCTTTCTGCACCAAAACAGAAGGGCACTTAAAATTATGATTACTAGGCAAACACAGACAACACTGAGAACAATATGACAAACAGACACAGCTGTTAACTCCTTTATAGTCCTTCTCGTTGCATCCAATAATAAAGACGACTGTATGTTCAGCATCTTACACCACGCTGTGTGTCATGTTCTGTTGTTCTCACTCACCCTCACTGGATTTCCAGCGGATCAGCAGGTTGAGGGAGCGCACAGTGCCAAAGGTGATTTGTTGGGTCAGATCGTAGACAGAGAAGGTCCGTCTGTCCCCCAGGACCACTGCCTGGCTCAGCAAGGGAGTGTCCGGGCTCACCTCAAACTGCTCGCCCTGCACAATGACATCAGATTTTCATCAGAACAATGATGCACCCCTCTATACATAATGTTAAAATGTTAAACTTATAGAAAACATTAAAATTGAACTCTGCTCTGTTTTAAAAAACCTTCAAAACGGCACCTAGTGGAGTTATGGTTAGATTCAGCGTTACTAAAACACAACATGTGTATCCTTAAGCTCTAATAAAAGTGTTGATTGTATTTCCTTGCTCACACACGTTTGAAAAGCTAAAATTTATATTTTAAATACTAAAAGTATTTAGTATTTTAAATCTAGCATTGTTTACTTCACTGCCTTTGTTGGTGCATTGCAGCACACAGGGACGCGCTCATAAATAAATGGTCCATAGCGCTACTAGAGGTCAACAACTCCACTGGGAACCTTTAAATATCTTCACCTTGATACTGCTTTGACAGTAAACACTGATCCTTTTTTGCTTTCTGTGAAGTTTCCATTGAGGGAAGCCTAATTATTTAAAGGAGATATTTCATATGGGATTCAAACCTGAGGGTTGTCTGTGATGTCGATGTAGATTTTACTGGAGGAGGCCAGTGGACAAGCTTCTGTCAGGGTCCGGGAAAACATCTTAAACAGAGACCACTCTGGAGGAACAAACAGCTTAAGTTAACTAATGCTTTTTTCCCACTACCAAACCTCAGAAACTATTAACCTGAATGCAGGAAGAATGTGCTTTTTGCTCACCTCGTTTGCCCTGTGCAGAGTTGTGCAGGTCAAAGACCACATTCAGCGTTTGCCTCAGCTCCCAGGATGTAGTTTTGCATTGCCAGTCATGACACACGGGTCTGATGTGCACTGCCTGGGAGTGAAAACTGCTGTGGAAGAGTTTCTCTGACTTCAACAGGACAGCGAGACCAGCCTGCATGTGAAACAAGAAGAAACTGAGGCTGTAGTCACTGACTTTCAAACACTGAAAGTGAGTCTGAAAATCATACAAAAAGGAGCACACAACCACGCACACAGACACAGACACACACACACACACACACACACAGGGCATTTCAGTTCTCATTGACACTCACCTTGGATCCACATGGCAAGAGCTTCTTCCAGGGTGTCAAATTCTCAGTGCAAACAATCTCTCGTGGGAGGGTGGCATAGCGAAGGAAGCGGTGGTCCGTCTCTTTAAGTTCAACAAAAAAAAATAGACAATCAGTCTACATGCAATGCAGTGCATCTTGGACAGTATCTGTAGCACCTGCATGCCGCAGGAGTTTAAAGCGTCTAATCACACCATTAGCTTTACAAAACGTAAATGGAAACTGAACAAGCCTCTCTGTACCGTTGCCTATACCCAGCGGCTTGAAGGACGCACTGGGCTGAACTGTGTTGGTGGAGTCAATGAAGTTCAGTGAAGCGCAGAAGATCCCCGACAACACATTGGTCAGCTCCTTCCACGTGCCATCCACACTAAAAAGGGCCGAAAATGGTATGAAAATGTATTAAAAACACATATTAGACAACTTTAAGAGAGCGAGATATAAAGAAACTGTATTGAAAATGTTCTCTATTATCTATATCTATCTATCTATCTATCTATCTATCTATATCTATATTCTATTAATATGCCTATATAATAATATAATAAAAATGCCTCTCTGCACACGTCCCTGATGAATAAAGAAGTCTGATATACCTGCCAGACACATAACTTTGTGTTCCATTCTTTTCACTGTGCTCACTATTCTTTACTTTACGGTGTGGCCAATTTTCCCCCTGTTTTCTACAGAGTTAGTTATGTCCTACATTTCCAGTTCCCATGACTTTTACCAACCAGCATAGACCTTGCTTTTAGCCTGAGGTAGCAGCATGGTAATAAAAAAAAATAAAAAATGAGCCAGTTTGTGTTTGTATAATGATGCAAAATGATGTGGCTTTGGCATTTTGTATGACTAACACAAAACCCTGATGTTTACCAATGACATCAGTTATAGAAAGCTAAAATCAATCAATCAATCCGGCATAACAGAGTGATGTCATAAAGTTCTGACCAGTAAGCCAGAGGATTAAGTTAGCTTTAAAATGTACTTTTTTTATTAAAAAAACAGAATATTTATTTCACCTCTGATGCTCTTCAACCACTAGAGGGCCGTACTCACTCTGTCACAGAGTCCTGGAACCAGACCCAGAGTTCAGCCCCAGGAGGGGACGGCTGAAAGGGCTGCCCCCACTGCATGGTCCTCCAGTAGCCCTGCGTGAAGGAAATATGCAGCTCTCGCACCGAGAACTTGGAGATGACCTGGCCCAGAGACTTTGGAAATAGCCGGTAGTGGGACACTGAGAAACATAATATAACATCACACATTTTAGGGTCAGGGTGAGAAAAAAACATGGTCTAATGATGTGAGTATGAATTAACAATAGAAAAACTAGGTTTGTAGAAATATTCTATTTTCTAGACTTGTGTGAGGCTCCAGTTGTGGTAAAAAAAGAAAAAAGGCTGAATGGTACTTCTGTGTCCTCAGTTTCACGTTACTGAAATGTCAATATGAATTTAATACAATCATCAAAAACTGTAATTGTCCAAGAATTTATGCTGTTGTAAAGAAAAATGTGCCTACAAGTAACAATTTAGACTTAAAGACCTTTACATGTCAGTGAGAAGAGAAGTTACAGCCAAATTTAAAACTGAAAAGCTACAAAAACCTAAGCGTGCAGTATCAGACCTTTTCACTGTTTTGATCAGATTACCTGGGGATCAAGAAACCACCTATGAACCTAATTCATACACATTTACAATCACAACTGGAGATAAAGTGAAACAGTTTGTGACTTTTTCACAACTTTCATATACACTGAGATAACCACTATCATTTAAATGGAGGGTATGAATTTCCAGACGCATTATTTTACCATATAAACACTGAACACCATATTTCTGACTGCCAGTGAATGAATGGCATGTTCACTGACGGACTGCTAACAGTTAGCTCACCTTTATTTCCTCTCATGAAATCAGTTTCCCACACGGTGCGGAACTGGAAGCTGGCATAGATATCTCCTGAGTGCAGAGGTCTGATGACCAATTCCTCCTGAAAGTCGTCTTTGGGCCGCGGTACCGATGAGGGCTCCCCGGTTTCAGCGGCAGAAGCGTCCTGTTTGTGGGGAGCAGCATCACCCGGAGTCGGCTCCTCCACCGCGGGCTGCTCGGCTCTGTGTGCCGCTGTTTCTGTGGCTGTTTGTGGATTATCGACAGGAGTGGCAGGGTGACCATCGTTTAGGCTCGTTTCTTGACTGTCTACGACAATAAACACCGACAAACTACAAAGAATGAGCAGCGCAGCGGAGTTGCTGCACCTGTGAGCTGCCATTTCTGTCTTCCGGCTGTGGTTTACTTCCGCGTTGACGCGTCATACGTGGAACCAGCCAATGGGCTGCTTGCATATTAATTCCTGTGGCACAGATATGAACCTGCTTTGTTTTAAGCAAAATGTTTTCATTTTTATGATATTTTACGAGTAAATGCTAGTGTTGAAGCATTACACATATATATTTTACTTTATTTCGAGCTATTATTCAAGAAGAAAAAGTCATTTTAATTCATTTTAGATGTATTTTCTATGTAGAAACGGTAGCATATAGGTCTTGACGCAATAATTCGCTATCATAGATTAAAACATAAAACAACCAGATCTGCAGTTTTCTTACGGCGTTTTATAGATAGCCTACCTGGAGGTAAAAATAAAACAATACGGAAATTACATCGCATAATAAACACATGTTACATTTATTTCTGTATATATATGAGTATATCATCACTTGACCAACATCATGTGTCCATTGATGCATTCTAACCAATTAACCATTTGCAATATTATATGAATTAATTCAGCATATAACAATGATTGCTCGAATTAAATTTCATAGCGTTACCTGGGCTGCTTACACCAATAATGAAGCTTATGGACCCCAAATAAGGGGAAGGGCAAAAGGGGGAGCATACATGATACTGGTGTGTTCCCTAAAACCATAAAATACATAAATATTCGGTATAATAATATATAATATAATGTGTGCAGCATACTAGTCGCTGTGTTGAAGATTTGGTCGTGTTGCTGGACAGGGACGGGCATCATCGGGGGCATATCACCCCTCCCACATCCACACATCATCGCGCGCACAGCCCAGACACACACACACACTTTGTACACACAATTTCTGCTCAGCCATGGCTCCCTGGTAGATGCTCAAAGCGGCTGTTGTCAGAGCGAATTAAATCTGCACTCGCTCGCTGCTTTCCTCCTGACCTTGCCTGCCTCTGGTTGGGTTTTTAATATTTTATTCAGGATTCCTGTGCTGTCTCCCCATGGCTACATCGGATGGACTAGACGGCTGTCTGCAACGAGGCAGATCTCAAAGTGACCCGAACATACTCACCGAACCGGGCATCGATTTGGATCACGGCACAGGTAAGACAGACGCGTCATTGTCTGGGCATTTATTTGCAATAATGTGTTTATGTTGCTGTTTGTTTGGAGATGCAGCGGTTTTACAAAAAAAAAAAAAGAAAAAAGAGGCATCCTCGCTTGCCCAGTGGGATATCAGAACACCAAGGGATAATTAGCGCATATGCTTCCAACCTCGGACGTAAAATACAGTGTGACACTGAATCGTGGAGCTGCAAATTGAAATTTAATGTGCCATATCAGCGTCTATGAATGGCTGCATGCCCCTCCACATTTGCGCTTTATAAAGACGCCTGTAGCCCAATGGGCTGTTGTGGCTGTGAGTAGTATTTAGGAATCAGCGTGTAGGCCGTTTAATATGAACATTAACGCGTGCAAAATGTACAGTATCATTCGCCTTCTGCACGATGCCGAGCTCCCTGTTCTGCGTGTGTATTTATCATCACAAAATCCGCATGCATGTGTGCTCCGTGATGTATCTAAGCCACCATTATAGAGCCCCGTTCTTCAGGAGCCACATGGGTTTCGGCGTTAGGTTTTGGTGTGTTGCCTGTAGAGAGAGAGAAAGGCACATGCATGTCTTTTTGCATTAAGCCTATATAGCTTTGACCCTGCGTATTGACAGCCCTGTCTCCCCCCCAACCCCCTCCCCTCTTCCCCATACGGAACTGATCACTGTTGTGATCAATGAGCGTCCACGTGATGCAGGCTATAGGTGCGATATATCTCCAGTTCAGCACAGCCATGCACTCACAAAAGATCGACCCACCAATTCATTTTATCCTGCAGGTGCGCTTTCCAACATGGAGCCCTTGTTTATCTCTGTGGTCTGTTAGTCATCCCCTCTGCATATGGAATAATGAATTGATCTTTCATTAATAAGTGGAGAACACCAGGGAGCAGTCCTGTTCTGCACATCTCCGATGAACTCTTGCAGATAGACTTGGTTCTTGCTGTGTTTGCTGTAAATGTTTCTCGCTCTTGATTTACCAATATACCTTCAGTGCAAAAAAGATGGCTTGATTTTTTTATGTAAGTGAGGCTATTTATGGTCATTGTGTGGGCTTGGAAAGAGTCATTGCTTACTCCCACACATGGCGAGTTTTACGCACATGAAGAATGCTTGACTGAATGATTCAGAAAAAACAAACAGTGTCATTCACCTATCAACTGTTCACTAATGAGGCCCCGTGTTTTTCACATCTCTAAATCACACCTGTCTGCACTCATCAACTGCCCAAAGCACATTTTTAATGGACCCTTGCTGAATTCAACCCTCCTATGGATGATTTAATTCACACATAGGTAGATGTGATAATGTCACACTGGGTCTTGACACCTGAATAAACAACACAGCAGTTTGGTAGATCAGCAATGCTAGTGATGAGAGCTAAAGCTATTAGGGAACACTGAACCAGCCTCTTACACTGGAATATGCACAACTGCATTACTGTCTAAGATGTGAATATAATTTGCAAATGAAAGACACAGTAAATACAGTTGTCACTGCAAGGACAATGTCAGTGTCTGGTGACCCAAAGTACACAACATCGTCCACCCCCTCCCTCTCTGTGTGGATCATCAGTGCGCTAGCGTCTGGGACACCAGTCTTTGCCAAAGGATTACTTTGGCGGACACTGCCTTTTTCCCTCAACACAGTGGCCCTTGCAGCTGCAGAGGCTGACACTGTATTCATCCACTTACTCAACACTGGAGAGAAGAGTCAATAGAGACAGCAGTTACAGCTGACCATTGCAGAGAATCAGACCAATGTTTTTCTCTTGAATGAAGGTGCAGTAATCATACAGCAAGTCAGTGAAGTCAGTGTTAGGCATAACATTTTATAAGGGTTTAGGTTTGACTGATAATATTTTCTGTATTTTTTTTTCTAGAGCTTGTGTTGTTCACTTTCTGTATAGAAGTATCCTCTTTGAGCTGCTGATTTACAACTATATTTCAAAGTTATTTATGTACGTTAGTCTAGTTACAGGCGTAGCAGTATAAAAACTTGTTTAGTGAGTTTGTTCAGACAAGGACCCTTTAGATTCTCCTGCTAATAAAATGTCACTTTCACTCAAACTTCCACTTAGTCATTGCAGAGTGTCGACCAAGGTAATGGTGTGGAGAGGACACCTTGAAGCTTTGTGGACAGGGAGCGTGTCCAAGCAGGGCTGTCCCTGTGGCTTCATTCCATAAAGTAATTCCACTGTCCTATAGAAAGACGTACAAAAGTGTTACATAGGACACATACCAGGACAGAATAGAATAGCAATATCAGTATTAATACACAGTATAAATACATAAATATGGTTGCAACTATTATGTCCATTATCAGTTAACCTATTTAAGTTTTGATTATAATATGTAATAAAAGAGTAAAAAATGCATATCACAATTTCCCAGAGCAAAAGTGGATGTCTTCAGATTGCTTATTTAGTATGACCAACAGTCCAAAATCCCCAATTATTCAATTTACAACAGAGAAAAGCAGCACATCCTACTCCTTGACGAGCAGGAACTGGCAATTTTTGGGTCATTATTACTTCCTAAACAACAAAATGAAGAAATACATGATCAAAGTTGTTGTACATAGACTTTGTTTATCAACAGTTGATGAATCAACTGATCGTTTCAGGATTACTGTAAGTCCAAATGAGCAACTACTCCACTATACTCCATAAATGCTGTGATAATTCATGGAGAAAATCGCTTTCCACTTTGCCTTCCCTCTTGGGAAGTCAGAGAGCAGGGAAAATGAAAGAACAGTGTCTCTAGAGCTCACAGGAATCTGTCATGTTGCTCAAGGCGACTTTAACATGGTGGAGCTTCGCTTACATGGCGGCTTAAACCTGCGAACAGTCGGCCCCACTTTGTTCAGTTATAGGACAGTGTCTCTTACCACTACTGTCCACCTATCAGTATTTTTTGTAGGGCTCATCCTCCTCCACCGGCCTTACTGATACCTGGATAATCCTCTCGGATCTGACATCAGAAGAATCTCTGAGGATTGCAGGTATAAGTGGAGCCCCCCTAATGAACAAGAAGATATTAAACCCTGTGAAAGCAGTGACGATGACTCACCCCAAGCCAGAGCAATGTCTTGTACATAATACAACCCGTATGCTTAGGTCTTGATGAGTAAATATGGTCAATTCTGAGTCAGCGGGTCTTATATAATTTGTTTCCTATTTAACAAAGCTTTGTTTAAAATGAAGAATTAATAATGTACACAAAATTCTAATTCTAATTCTAAAAATCTATCTATCTATCTATCTATCTATCTATCTATCTATCTATCTAACTCTACTTTTCTGAATGATTGTGAACTTGTTGTATTCAGCTGTGGATAAAACAACAGCGAGAGCAACAGTGACAGAGAAGTGAGAAGTTTTTTTTAGTCTAAAAAAGTGTGAAGAAGTGAGAATCAGACACCAGAAAAAGAATTCCTCTATTTCCGTTTCCACTCTGTAAATATCTCAGTATGACATCATGCTGTATTTTACTAAGCATTACTAAGCGGAAATACGCCTCAACACATTCGGATGTAGTAAACTAATTGGCAATAGCAGTTTTATTAGAGATTAAATGTGATCTTTCACACAATAGAGTAGTAGTAGTCAAGTGACAGTGATATTTCTGTCTGTTTGGATGACATTCTTCCTGTGTTGCATTGGAAAGAATGTATTTCTCATCAAAGTAAGCATAGTAAACAGATCTTTACAGATTGAAATGCACATGGGTGGGTATTGTAGGGCAAATGCTGATTTTAATTTCCAAATTTTACAAGTGGCTCCATAATGTGTAGCCCATAGCAAATTCTGTTATATGAAAAGTATTCTAGTATTCTTACTAGAGCTGAAATTATTGTTGTTTTTTGTTTTTATGTTTTATTTGCACATTTTAAAAAGGAAAGATCAAGCTGA